ATCTCACTTCTCTTTAAACTCTGTTATAGTTCTAGCCTTCACTGCCTCCTGCAGCAAGGAGTTCCACAGGTTGACTCGTTGCTTTGTGAAGAAGAACTTTCTGTTACTACTTTGAAGCCTGCTACCCATTCCTTTCCTTTGGTGTCCTCTAGTCCTTCTATTATGGGAACTAAAGAAGAACTTTTCTGTATGCACCCTCTCCACCCCACTCATGCTTTTATAGACCTCCATCATATCCCCCCTCCATCTCCTCTTTTCTAAGCTGAAAAGTCCTAGTCTCTTTAGCCTCTCTTCATATGGGACCTGTTCCAAACCCCTCATCATTTTAGTTGCCCTCCCCTCTCCCACCCTCTCTCTTCCCCTCTCCCACCTCCTTTTCCCAGTCTCCCCCAGTTTTGTTCAATAAAGAGAGATTCTATTTTTGAACACACATGTCCTTTATTTTGTACATCAGGAAGGGGGGCTAGGGAGGGGTAAGTGGAAGGAGGTGAGGGAGGAATGGGGTACAAGCTCCCGATGGGGAGGACTGGGGTGGCGCAGCTGGTTTTTCCCTTCACCACCCACATACTCTTGGCAGCAAAGTACTAGTCCGGTCCCTTGGCTAGCAGGGGTCCAGACCACAACCCGGAGCCCAGATGACCTCCATGTCCTCGGTCGTCACTAGATCATCTCCCCCTGGGCTGCTTCCCAGTTCCCCCTCAGGTCCTACCTGGCTCCATGTCTGGTCGGTGAGTTCTGCGGGTGCAAAGGAGGTGCAGAGTATCCGTAGCTTCTGGAGGTGGCTCAGGCAGAGGTCCAGGGTGCCCAGCCCATTCTTCTGAGCCTGGTCTGAGACCTGGGGATCCCAGATAGGCCTCAGGCCTTAGCAGGGGGTCTATGCAGCTTCTCATAGTTACAGGACACCCGCAGGGGTCGCAGTGGCCTGGAACAGTCCCCGGGGCACGGCGGTGGTCTCAGTGGCCCAACCCAGTTGTCCCGCTGGGGTTGGTGGAGTAAGGCTCTCGGTTGCCTCTAGAGCTTCGGCCAAGCCTCCTCCCTGCTCAGCCACTGGGGTCCAACTGAACTGGAAGCTCCCCTCTCTTATACTTCTGGCCCCGCCCTTCTGCTTCCTGTGGGCGGGGTCAGGGTGCTCTGGCACCGCCCACCAAGGGGTCTTATGGGGAACTTCTTCCTCCAGGTCATCAGGAGGCCATGCCGCCTCCTTACAACACATATGAAGAGGAGCAAAATATCAAGAGCGCTATAGGAATACAGGAAAAACTGTATCAGTATCATGAGAAGTCTGCTGTATTCAATCAAAGTTTGTTAAAAAGGAGCCAAATTGCACTGAAATCACTAGGGCCTCTGTCTTCGGTATGGTTGTAGGGTCTACAATATTTCGGATAAGAATCAATACCCTGCTAAAGCAAGCCACACCATGTGCCTTTTTACTTTCATTTCAGGAGCCTTATACTGCTACTACAAAATGAGAAATAAGGTGAAAATGTTACAGCTCCTTTTTACTTCAGGATTTTCCTATATCAGGAAAAGGTTCTCAGGTCCATGTGAATTTTGTGATTTGGAAGATGAAATCCAAGATACATGTCTGATGTTTAGGCAACTGCGTATGCTCTCATCAGATCTGAATGGAAGGAAATAGATCCTCCTATGTTAGCTTCAGCTTGTAGACCTCACCCTTCTTAGCTAAGGCATCTGCTTATGCGTAGGCTAATGAGCAAAAGAATCTCCTGCTTTCAGTGCTGAATGCCCCAGGTTCCCTAACAAATGGTGCTTATAAGTATGGCGGTAACTGTAAATCTGGCTCTTCCTTGTTTGTTTTTTTAATATTTGTGACAGGATCATAAATGTTCTACTGAAATGTTAAGAAACTTCAGTACATTTGCATAATTTATGTAAAATCATTAAGTACAGAATCACATTCTTAAAATTGCTACATATGTGATTCTGAGCAGTATCTAAAAATTGTTAAAGCAAGAGGAACTTCATTATACGTGTTCATAGAATCATCTGGGTGCAAAAGTCTTGGGTACCAACTCATTTCTGGCTGGGCAAATTAGTTCAGATTGGAATGTAAATCTACTACACACACACACACACACACACACACATATGAGGGGCATTGTTTGTTTGTGAGTGAGCAAACAAGTCTGTCTGTCTGTGTCTGTTTCTTCAAGAACACCTCCTAAATGGTGTGAGGTAGGACCTCCAAATTTGTTATGCAGTTTCCTCTTTGTAGTAACTTAAAGCAAAGTAAGAGTTTTGTCGTGCGAGGACAATGGGATGTGCCTGGAGTGGAAATTGTTTTCCATAACGTGGAAAGGGAAGGCCTGCTAACAGGGACCATTATATTTGTAATGACCACCAGGGGGTAGCAAGGGGCCAGAGATGGAGACTGGGACAGCTATAACCCCATTCAGGCAACAGAGGACAGGGGTGGAGATGGGAGTCACGAGGAGTAACGGTAGTTCGGAATAGAAAGCCTAGTCCGACCTACCTAGTGCGTGCCGCGTGTAGCCGTGGGGCACAGAGTCCGCACTAGCGGACATTTAAAAATGGCAGCGCCTGGGCTTCATTTGCAACTCCGGTTGCCTACATTACCACCCTAGTGTAGACATACCCTGAGAGATTCCACCAGCAGGCACCTTTCGCATTGGATGGTCTCCTCAGCCTGGATATCAATAAGTGGGAATTGCAATCCACAGTCCCTGCAAAACTACACCAGGATCTGGGTAGAGGCATCCATGCTCAGGTGCTCTGTCTGGGTACAGGTGCAGGAGGAGGAGACAGAAGCAGTGCTGGTACAGGTGTTGCGGGTCTTCCTGACCATCGTAGGCCTCCCTCTGTCAAACTCCCTCTCAAACTCCCCTGTCTGCAGCTCCTGTCCTCTTCGCTTGCTGGTCACTCTCTGCCTCTGGCTTTTAAAGCCTGCTTGCCCAGTCCAGGCCTGCCCCTGATGAGTCACACACAGGGGAAGGCTGACCAGGTACAATCAAGAGAGCAATCAAGGGTACAAAAGGTCCGGCATTCAGTCCCAACTGCCACTGCCGCTGAAACTGAAACTGCAGTCACCTGAAATCAGATTCAGAACTCAACAAACAAACAAAATTCAAACAGTCGAGCAAACTCACTCACACCAAAAGCAAGTACTCTCACCAAGTAGCCTGTTCAGCGGTGGGATCTCTTACGGTCCCTCTCAAACTCCCCTGTCTGCAGCTCCTGTCCTCTTTTACCATTGACTGTCACAGGGATGCTAGCCTCAGATGGTTCAGCCTCTCACATCCACACACTGATCAAGAGTAAACTTTGACTCTTTTCAGTACAGATAAAAAACACTCATTTAAAAACTGTAGTGACTGGCAGTTTAAAGACGATGTGTAGCAGTTTCAACACTTCTAAATATTCAAACAGCAGTGCTTGAAGTTTGCAGTACAGATAACAAATGTCTCTACTCTTTCTCCTTCTCAGTTGATGCTGGGAAATTTTGCTGCTGAGACTTGCAGTCTCAAAAGTACTTTGTCAGTGTGTGTATTGTAAAACTGTTCAAAAGCTTTTCATTTCTTAAAATCTATGTCATTCGAGGAGTCTCCATCAAATACGTCCACTCTTACAAGTGTTGATTGTTCGTTAAAAGCATGTCACACTCAAAAATGAAATGATCAAGAACAGCTAAATATGCCCTTCAGAATTTCTAATTGAGATACACCTCATTGATATTCCTTTTCCCAGAAGTACTGTTCAACGAGAAACTTGGAAACCTCCTGAATTCTTGCATGGTATTTAGAGGATTCAAATGTCCCAAAAGCCACTTCAATACCAAGAGCAAACTTCTATGAATTTTCCATTATTTTTACACTCAATATAATAAGAGCTTTCTGGTTATAGTCCTTTTCACGTTGAGCCTGTGTGTAGCATTTAATAAAAAGAAGTCCACTTTCCTGAAATTGCTCTCCTAATGTGTTAGTCATACCAAGCATTTTTTTCCAAGATAGGCATCTACAGTAACAATGAAGTAGACTATATCTTAGCTTTCAATCAACAGCCACTCCCCGACTTATGAACACACCGACTTATGACCATCCATACTTACGACCAACCTCCCATTAACCCCATTATAATATTTTCGAGTCGAGAACCATGTACGTCACGTTTTTTATAATATTTTCGAGTCGAGAACCATGTACGTCATGTTTTTTGAACAGTTCAGGCAGTGCGTTTAAGGGTATTTCCGACTTATGACCAAATCGAGTTACAACCAGGTGTTTGGAACGTAACCTGTTCGTAAGTCGGGGACTGCCTGCATTTGCTATGGTTGAAACTTCTAAATGATTTGTACTGACTACTTCTAGCACAACAATTGTTTCATGGCACAGTTTTATTTGATTTGCTGCGCGGTACCAGTAAACCCACCCGGCAGCTATAATCTACTTTAGCCAAATAGCTTCTCGGCGCAGACATCTGTGAGTGTGAACAAATAACCAAGGCCTGGGATTGCATCCGGCTGTGACGTGATATAGAACTTGTAGAGCGGTAAAGAATTCTGCAAGCGTGGATGTATCTGAGGTAGTGTCAGCTAAAGAGGAGGTTACTTATTGTATCTTGATGTTCTCCTTCGAGTGCATGCTCACGTGCATTCCAAGTTAGCTGGGTGTGTACTTTCCACATGCAATGGTGCCGGAAGTTTTTCCCGTAGCAGTATCCATAGGGGAGCGACTTTGGCACCCACTGGACTGGTGCTCTTGTGGCGTGGCATAAGGGGCATTGTACTCTCTACCCTCCTTCAGTTCCTTCTTATCACCAGTATCAGTGCACGGAAGGCTGTCTTGCTTTGGCAGTCCCATTCCTAGTTACTAACTGAACACTGTTCTTCTTCTCATAGTTAGAATTCCCGTAGTGCAGTAGATTAAGAACATAAGAACGGCCGTACTGGGTCAGACCAAAGGTCCTTCTAGCCCAGTATCCTGACAGTGGCCAGCACCAGGTGCCCCAGAGAGGGTGGACCGAAGACAACGATCAAGCAATTTGTCTCCTGCCATCCATCTCCAGCCTCTGACAAACAGAGGTCAAGGACACCATTTTATCCCCTGGCTAATAGCCTTTTATGGACCTAACCTCCATGAAATTATCTAGCTTCTCTTTAAACTCTATTATAGTCCTAGCCTTCACAGCCTCTTCTGGTAAGGAGTTCCACAGGTTGACTACACGCTGTGGGACCTAGCCCTGGGCTAGGGCATGCCCTGGTCCCTGTGCTTTAAGAACCGTGACTAGTGTAAGATGCTGTGCCAGTCAGTGACCCCACAACTAGCTGCTTGCACTGCCTGGGGGATACCCATGTCAGCAACGGGTGTAGCATTTGTACGAGTTTCAAACCACACACAAAAAAAGGAGTGAAACATTTAGACTCACGGTGATACTTATGGAATTGGCACTGATACCAGCACTGGAGCAGCCCAAATTGGACTCCACACACAGCGCTGGCACCTTGGTGTGGAGTGCCCAGCTGGCACTACCATTGGAATGGTGAAGATCCACCTCCCTGGCATCATCCGTCAGGAAAAAGAAGACCAGGATAGGTTGGTCTCCTGTTTGCAAAGACAAGCAGAGGGCAGGAAGTGAAGGAAGGGTGACTCGTTACCTCCAAGCGGGAGTCAAGACCCAGCTTTGGCCAAGCAGGAAAACCCTCCCAGGGATGCGGCTTCTGCCCCAGACAATGACACCAGAGTCTGCCACCTGGACATGCTGTTGACCTTTGAGGCCCTTCGGGCAGCACAAGACGTCTTGTCCCTTCCAGTGTCACTCACACTACCTATGGCAGCTCCCAAATGTAGGGTAAGATTACCGTAGGACACACGCCTCTTGGTACCATCTGCACAGCTCTGCTTGCAACCTCAAGGAGCATCCTGCTAGGGCTCACCAGCTAAGAACCACACAAGGTCACCA